TTTTATGTTTTTTACTTATGTTCTAACAAAATATTGGGGAAAAGACTATACTTATGAGAGACATTGATTTATAGTTTTCTTTATTTTTGTTGTTGTGTTTGTCTGGTTTTGGGACCAGGAAAAGACTAGCTTCTACATTCTTTTTTTGTGAACTATTTATTTCTGTTCTTTATTAATTCCTTCCTTCTGCTTGTTTTGGGTTTAGTTTGTTCTTTTTCTAAATTCTTGTGAGAGCTTAAGTTATTGAATAAAAATACTGTATAGCAATACAATTGGTGCTATTTAAAAAAAATGATAGAATTATCTGGTGGAATCATCTGGACCTGAATATTTCTTTTTAGAGGTTTTTAAATTATAAATTTAATACCCCAGAAATTATAAAGCTATTCATATTACCTATTCACAGCAGGTAAATTAAGGTAATTTGTGTTTGTCAAGGGTTTAGTTATTTTGTCTAAATTATTAAATTTATGTTCATAGAGTTATTCAGAGTGTTGCCTACTCCTTTTCAGACCTTGCAGAGTCTGTAGATATTTCCTTTTTCATCCCAGATACTGGTGATTTGTGTCTTTCCCTTTAATTTTTGTCAGTCTTGCTAGAGGTTAATCAGTTTTTTTTTTTTTTTTAAAAGATTTATTTATTTGTACATACAGAACTGGGGTACAGGCCAGAGGCTCAGGGGCGGTGAGAGGCTTCACCAGAGACAGAGCGGGGAGCAGAACAGGCAGATGCACGCGAAGTACACTGCTGAGGGGAGCAGTGGGCGGGCCAGGAGGGGTCTGCCTCGCCATGTGGTCTCCTCCGGGGCAGGCGGGATTTGAACTCATGCGGAAGTGGCTTTAGCTTCTCAGTGCAGTGCTTTAACCCGCTGCGCCACCAGGGAGGGCCGAGGTTAATCAGTTTTATCTATCTTTTCAAAGAACTAGATCTTTGTTTCATTGATTTTTTTTTTTTACTTTTTCTATGAACTATTTATTTCTGTTCTTTATTAATTCCTTCCTTCTGCTTGTTTTGGGTTTAGTTCTTTTTCTAAATTCTTACGAGAGCTTAAATTATTGATTTGAGACCTTCCTCCCCACCTCTACCCCCAACCTTTTCCTTAATATGTGCTATGAATTTCTCAGGATTGCTTTGACTATGTCCCACAGAGTTTGACATTTTGTTTTTTTCATTTTTATTCAGTTCAATGATCTCTTGTTTCCCTTCAGAATTACTTTTTGATTCAAGGATTATTCAGAAGTAGGTTGTTGAGTTTCATAGTGTTTATAAATTTTCCTGTTTTCTTCTCTTTACTTTTAGTTTGATTCCATTATGGGCAGATGAACATACTCTATGATTTCAGTTCTTTGAAATGAGTTAAGGGCTACTTTATGGCCCAGATTAGGATTTATCTTAGGGTATGTTCTGGAGGTATATGAAAAGAATGTGTTTTCTGCTGTTGTTGGATGGAGTGTTCTACATGTGTTGATTTCTGCAACTATAATTGTGACCATATATTTCTCTCTTCATTTGTAGCAGTTCTTGCTTAACACATTTTACAGCTTTATTGTTTGGTGTATATATACATTTGGGGTTTGTTGATTGACCCTTTTACATTATATAATGTCCCCCTCTACCTCTGATAATTCTTTGCTCTGAATTCTGCTTTATCTAATATTAATATAGCTATTCCTGCTTTCCTTTCATGAATATTAGCATGATCTATGTTTCTTTCAACTTATCTATGTATTTATATTTAAAGAGTGTTTCTATAGAGCAGCATATATTGAGTCATGCTTTTGAATCTATTCTGCCTACCCTTGTTTTTTTAAATTAGTATATTTAGATCATGTACATTTAATGTAATTATTGAAGTAGTAAATTTGCCACTTTAATTTTTGTTTTGATTATTCTAATTTTCATTTTTGTTTTATTTCCCCTGCCTTTCTGTGGGTTCCTTGAACAATTTAAGAATCCATTTTGATTCATTTATAGTATTTTGAGTGTTACTTCTTTGTATAGACTTTGTAATAATTGCTCTAGGTATTACATTATATACATGTAATTTACCACAATCTACTGGTGGTGTCATTTTAGCAATTTGAGTGAAGTACATAATTTGCATCACTTTATTTGCTCCCATCTATAATATAACTAATATAAATATTTCCTCTATATGCAGTTCTCTGAAGTGTGTAGATTTAAGACCATATCAGACAATATTATTATTTTAAATTCAACCACCAATCATGATTTAGAAAACTTGAGTAAAGAGAAAGTCTATTGTATTTATCCACATTTTTACTATCCAGGTTGTTTTCTATCTTCCTAATGTTCCACAATTTCTTGTTATTAAGATTCCTTTCTGTTTAGAGAAATTTCAAAGTCATTTTTTTAGTATTGGTCTATTAGTAAGAAATTCTTTTGGTTTTTCTTTACCTGAAAACACCTTGATTTCATCCTCATTCCTGAAGTATATTTTTCCTGGGTATGGGATTATCAGTTAGAAGCTTTATTTCAGTATTTGAAAAATAGTAAGCGATTTTCTAGCCTTTTTAGTTTCTGATGAGAAATCTTTTATTTTTCCCCCCCAAATAGTTTTCCCCCTATAAATGAGGCATTTTTCGCTGGCTGCTTTCAAGATTTTTCCTGTGTTGTTATCAGAAGTTTAATTGTGATATATGTGGCAAGAATTTTGCTCGGTGATGGGATTACAATTAAGATGGAAAAAAAATGTGCAAAATGATGTAAAAATAAACTGTTTTATATATATATATAAAGAATTTTGGTTTTGCCCTCTGTGGTGTTGCTCAGTTCTGTAGGTTTATATCTTTTGCCACATTTGGAAAGTGGTTTCAGCTATTATTTCCTTGAGTGCTTTTCAAATTGTCCTCTTTCTCCTCTACATCTGTGTTAACTTGAGTTGCTAAAATGACCTGTCTAGGCTCCAACTAAGCCTAGCTATCTATGCTCTTCCAGTTAAAAGTGTCTGGGTTTATGCAATGACCAGACTTGATCTTCACTGGCTAATTCCTTTGTTGCCCCAGCTTTCCCCAGTTGCCTGTAGCTATGGGGAAGTGTTTTAATCGAAGTGCATGCTTTTGTTCTGGAGGGAAAGAGCTGGCAGTCACTCTGGCAATTTTGAAATAATTTCCTCTTCTTTCTTTGTAACACCTTGGGGTGTCATGGAGTATTCAGAGAATACTGTGTTAAGGGCTATGACAACAGCCATCAAGGAATTAGCAGTCAAAAGGGGCAAATCCTCATGGAACACAAGTAATGGAGAGGCAGGTGCCACAGGAGGCCCTGTGATGCTAAGGGAGCTCAGGGCGGGGAGGACGAACTGCCCACTGGGTATAAGGAAACGTCATGGAAGATGTGACACTTGAATATGACTCTTGAGGGACTTGCAGATACCCCAGATGAATACAGGAAGAAAGGACACTTAAGACAAAGGAAATGCAGAAAACAAAGGCACTGAAGTGGTAGGACAAATGACATATTGGAGGGGGTGGGCTTGGAGGGGCAGTAACAAGATAGCTGAATTGACACAGATTGTTGAGAGCCTTTAATACCACCTTCGGATCTGGCTGTTGAGAGCCTTAAATGCCACCTTTGGGTCTGACATTTATTTTATAGGAATTAAGTGTTTTTGTAAAACTGATTACATTGTCAAGATTGGGAAGGCTAACGGACAGTTGTGGGAGTATCTTCTATCCGAAATTTGGGTTTATTCTGAGAACTAGGAGAAGGCTTTGAGTATTTCCTTACGCATTGCAGAGAATAACCATCATGTATTTTCAGTTAATCTTCAACAATAACAAAAACCCATTTTTGGTTGGATGGTAGTATTCTCACTGCGGAGGCTGACTTGCTCCTTCTTGTGTAGGGAGTATTGCCTGTCAGGGAAACTGACCATCTCCCTGGGCAGATGCCGTTCCTCCCTTGGAAGATTAGGAGGGATTCTTAAAACATGTTAAGGATAGAATGGCCTTTATCCTGCTGGGCTTCAAGACAGCGGATGAGCAGATGACATTAAGATCACTTTCATCTTTGGATAACTCATCACTGCCTTTCCTGTTTTTCCTGTTGCCTGGGAAAGGTGTATACTCCCACAAGGGGTTAACTGTTAGGCTCTGATTCAACACAGCTATCACTTAGTGAACCTGCAGATTCTAAGTACTGACTATAAATATACTTGGATTTAAAACTGTATACAGCAGTTGGGGGTCAGCAATGAGTACCCCTAACTTGCCTCCACCTTCTCCCCACCCTTGCATAGTTCAAGGATCAGTTTTGCTTAGTCCAGCCTCTCATTTTTCAAGTGGGAGCCAGGGGATCAAAATGTCTGGGCTCTTCATCCATCTCTATAGGTTATTAGCAGGGTTTGGCCTACCCTGCCTTTTTGATCCTGCCCATGCTGTATGTCCCCAGATATCCAGCCCCCCTACATTTCCCTCTTACCACATTTTTCCACTTAGGCTGTGTATTTAGCTGTTGAGTTATGAAAGAAAACCTGGTTCTTCCTTTGAAGGTAGGCTGCTGTCTAAATAAATACTATTGTCTTGGCCTGCTTTTATTTGGATAATGTCAGTGTAGCTAGATAGAAATGGTGGTTTTGTTAAGGAAAGATATCTCGGGCTTGTAAAGTGCATCAGTGAACTTCCTGGTTGGCTGTCAGGTGCAGAAATTCTGAGTAGGGGATGAGCAATCCAAGATTGCCCTCTTCAGCTTGGGGAAGGGGAGACCAAGGAACATGCTTCCTCCCCTCTCAAGCTGCATGGGATAGCCTGCTGGGTAATCTCTCTGCAATGTGAAGAGCACTGTCAGAGGCCCCAGAGACATCCCACCATTCAAGAGAGACCTGATGTTGGGCAAGCTAATGTCACCTCTCTGGACCTCAGCTTTTTGTGTCTGAGATGGTGATAATAAGGCCCACTCATAGTTTCAGCAAAAGTTCACCTGTACCAATAGTAGATTATAACGTAAGGGGTTACTGTTGCTGTCATTGTCATTACTAGGGCAGCGTGGACATTCTCAGACTGACTCTCCAGAGTGAACTGACAGGAGAGGAACTTGAACACATAGCCCAGAAGGTATTGAGGTTCCTGCTGGGTGAGGCCTCCCCTCAACCAATTCTTCCTTGCTATTGACGCTCACCCCTGACTGCTGGAGCCACCTTTGCTGCTGTGAACTTGGGAGCGCCTCCTTTCAAACACCTTGCTAACCTCAGCATATGCACCACTTCGGGGAATGGGAGACCTCCACTAAAATGAAAACTATCCACATTTCTACTAATTTTCCCAGTCTGATGTTCTTGCTACTGTGTAACTTCTGGTAGAGATCCTGAGATGAAGTCTTGGAGGGGAAATTCTGCTAATCTTCAAGTCTCTTGAGGCGCAGGTTTATGCATTGGTGAAGAGGCCGAAGTTCTGGACTTTGTGTGATTTCTGAGTCTCTCTGCCTCTCTCTCAGGCTGGCAGGAAGACCTATGCCATGGTGTCCGGCTACTCAACTGGTCATTCTCTGGCCTCAGAACTGGTAGAGTCCAACGATGGACATGAGGAAATCATTAAGGTAAGTATGCTCAGTTCACCACCACCTTTTCTTCTCCGCTCTTCTCTGCAAACATGAAGGGAGCAACTGGTTTTCCTGAAGGAGCTTGTGTTTTGACTTGGAAGAACCAAATCTGTAATGCTGGTTCTTTGCCCTCCTGGAAAAACCCTAGTTAACATCAGCATGCCATGACTTTGGTGTGACCCACTCCGGCCTAGGCATGGTGGCACAACCTGCCTGGGTGCCTATTCACGCTCCTTGTTTGCCAGTTGGAGGTTGTGGAGGTGGGAGGTAAAGGGGGTGTCACCCAACTTACTTTGTTCTAAAAACAGCTTTTTTAAACATAAGTCACATAGCATACAGTCAACTCAGACATGTACAAGTAGTGATTTTTAGTACATTCATGGAGTTGTACAACACTGTTAGTTCTTCAGTCACTCCACTCAGCTGGCAGTCACCAACCCACTTTCAGTCTCTATGACTTTGCCTTTTCTAGACATTTCATGTAAGGGGAATCATACACATGTGGTCTCTAGTATCTAACTTTTTTTCACTTAAAATAATAATGTCCAGCTTCAGCCATTTGTAATGTATGTCGGTACTTAATCCTTTTTATGGCTGAATAATATTACCTTGAATGTATATGCCACGTTTTGTTACCTATTCATTAGTTTGTGGGCATTTGGATTGTTTTTACTTTCTGGCTATTATGAATAATGCTGTTATGAATATTCATGTATAAACTTCTGTGTGAACATATGTTTTTAATTTCTTGGCATACATTTAGGAGTGGAATTGTTACGTTTATGGTAACTCTGTATTTAATCTTTTGAGGAACTACCAGACTGTTTCCCAAAGCATCTGCTCCATTTATATTCCCACCAGTAATGTATGAGGGAGTTCCAATTTCTCTATATCCTTAGCAACCCTTGTTATGAATCCATCTTTTTGATGATAGCCTCCCTGGCTGATATGAAGTGGCATCTTGTGGTTTTGATTTGCATTTCCTTAATAATATTGACCATCTTTTTACATGCAGATTTCCCCCTTGGTTAGCACTTTGCAGAAACACATTGTAGAAATACAAGTAGTTTTTGTATATTGACCTTATATCCTGCAACTTTGCTGAACCTCATTATTTGTTCTAATAGTTTTTTAGTGGATTCCTTAGGATAGTCGGTATATGGTGGTCATATCACCTGCAAGTCAAATTAATTTGACTTCCTCCTTCTCAATCTGAATCCTTTAATTTCTTGTTCTTACTCAAAGTCATGTTATGGCTCATAATTCTATCAGTGTAATCATTGGTTACTTTTATTGTGTGTCCTCTCAGACATTTTTCTTTCTATACATGATATATTCTGTGAAAAATTTAAATTCTACTATATATTCTTCATTTGCGCCCCCTCCCACTTTAGTGGTAGTTTATCATATCTCTGTCCATAATGTAAATATGTGGCATTTGACGTACTCTTTAGTATCTATTATAGACATGCCATAATTTATTTAATTAATTGCCTGTTGTTGAACATTTTGTCTGTTTGCTGCCAGAAACATTATGCTGAACATATATATGTTACTAACATATGTTACATATATATGTTACTATATGTGATATAAAATGCAAGCAAAATCCAAGGTTTTCTGAACTGCAAAAAGTTTTTAAGTGTGGTATACAGAGAAAAATGTGTAATAGCTTTTACAGCCCTTACCTATCAGTTTACCAGTATACAGGTAAATGTTTTTGCCAGTTGAACTAAGTATATTTCATTGGGATAAATTCCCACAGGTCAAAGAGTAAATACAGTTTTTAAATTTTCTAATTTGAATGACCAACTTGCTACCCAGAAAGATGGTAATATATTTACTGTCATGCCAGGCTGACTGTGGTCATGGAATTAATTTCATAAGCTGTCATAACAAAATAGTGCTATCTTCCTTACTTCAGGTGTACTTGAAGGGGAGGTCTGGAGATAAGATGATCCATGAGAAGAATATTCATCAACTGAAGAGTGAGGTCCAGTATATCCAGGAGGTGGGAATCCCTCCCTTTACAGAATGACCAGGATCATTTTTCTTAAACTTACTTTTGCGGGGGGAGGGGTTCCCTTCCATTTTCGGTGGGTTCCTATTTTTTCCTGTCTGCTCCCATATCTCCAAAGTACCACCATGCTCTGTCCTGCATCAAATACCATTTTTAGCTCTTTAATTAATCAACCTATCCTTTAATTAACAAATTAATACCATGTACCTAATGCTTTCCCCTAGCCATCTAAAATTGCCAGCCTCCCTTCCTCAAGTTTTCCTAACCTTCTCCCTGGCTCGTTTCTCCTTGACACCTGTCACCTATAACTAATAAAACATTTAGCTTGATCAGGGCAGGGGTTGCTTGTGTAGGAGGGATTGGACTGACCCCCACTTGGCTTGGATCCATTCTCTCCAGCTGTGTGTAGAGCAGTGGGGGGCTCACAGGAGTATGGAGTGCTGGATAGTTGGTGTGCTCTCTTGCCCTACACCAAAGCTAAAGTCTCTTGCCTTCCTCTCCCAGGCCAGGAACTGCCTGCAGAAGCTTCGGGAAGACATAAGTAGCAAGCTCGATAGAGATCCAGGAGATTCTTTTCATCAACAGGAGATACAGGTAATAAGAAATGGTCCCTGCTGGGTCCCCACTGAGGAGGTGGGGCTGAGCTAGCCAGTCCCATCTAGCTGTCACCCAGTGGGTGGTGAATCTAACAATACTAACAGGAGAAAAGGGCACTAGGCTGTGCTGGGCACTCACAACCTTGGCAGGGCTCTCCAGCAGCAGAGCTCTTGCTTGAATTACGTCAGCTTTTCTACAAGTAAATATTTATGGAATTTATAGACATAAAAGTTCACAGAGATTGAGGATTCTGTGCTCAATCTTCTTGTAATACAAAGTCTTGTGAAACCAAGAACCATGTGTAAATCCAAACTTCTCATAAGTTGATTTTGCATCATTTGGGTGACACCTGTAGTATAAACTAGAACTCTCGGCCCTCCTCTGTTAGGTGTGTGTAACTCTCTGCCTGGGATGGGAAGCTCCTCAAGGCTTCACCCCTTGTCTCTGTACCCCCAGTCCTCCAGCAGAGGGTCTGGAATGCGGAAATCATCAGAAAAAGTTCATTAGACTGAACTGACTGGAGAAGTCCTTTGGAATGGATAATCCTGGGATCTTGCTTCACTAAAATAGAAGTGTTCTCGGGAGAGCAGAACGATCTCTGCCGTGATCCACCTTTGACTTCTGGGTTGAATCTCTCTTACTTGCAGTTGGTTTGTGTGGGGTAGGCTTTCTCTAGCATTTACCAGGGGAGCAGTGGCCTGTGTGGCCAGTGTGAAGCTGATGTAACAGAGTTTCTCTGGCTTTTGGGTGTGTACTTGGCTTGTGTGGCAACCTGTCCCAATTCATTTTGCTTGACTGAAAGTCAGACTTTCACTGCTTGAGCTCATCTGGCTAGTCGGAGGCGCTTTGCCAGGTGGCAGAAGAGACTGACTCAAAGGTCCTGGCCTTTTGTTAGCACAAACTAACCCTCCTGCAGAATAATCAGGTTTTGGGTTAAAAAGAATTACAGGTACCTCTTCTTTGGATTTATATTCTTTTTGATTTATGATTTGTTAAACTTTGTCAGGACTCTGAAAGGACAAGGGACACTCTGTGGCAAGCAGCTGCTTGTATTCCCTGGGCTATCAAGAGTGGGTCTGCTTATTTTCCAGGCTGCTTAGAGGCTTTAGCCTGAGGTTTCCTTCATCTCCCCTACAAAGCTAGGGTAGTCCCTCTTCCCAAGGCTGCAAATGTTTCTCTCCTCTCCGCCCCATTTCCCCACAGAGCACTGGACCGCCTTATTTCATCCTCTCCCCAACCCTCCCCTCCCTCCTGTCTTCTTCCTTGAACTCTGCCTCTCTATCCCTCCCTTCCCGCCCTCTTCTTTCCTCCTCAACTCTTCCCCCGCCTCCTCCTCACCTTTTCCCACTCCCTCACTTTCTAAGATTTGAGGTCTTAAGAGAATGTTTCAAACTTGGTTGCTTTGGCCCGTTTTAACTACCAATTTTATTTTTCTTTGAGCAGGTGGTGCTGGAAAAGCCAAATGGCTTTAGTCAAAGTCCTACAGGCCCGTATGACCACCCACCTGAGGTAGGTAGTTTGTAGAGGAATGCAAAGGCCAGAAGGCCAGTAAAAATGTTCTAAAACTGTTACTCAAAGATAAGCAATGTGAAGGTCAGAAGGCCAGTGAAACTTGCTAAAACTGTTGCCCAAAGATAAATTTCGATCTCTCCTGGAGTAAATGTTCCAGGATCTAACTGTTACTTTACCAGGCATCCAGCAAGCAGGGACTTGTGACTGCCTAGCCCCTCCAGAATGCCTTTATAAACCCATAACTTTAAGAAGCTGGGGTCCTTCCCTCCCAAGGAGCATCTGCTGCGTCGGACCCTAGCTCGAGCTAGCTAGTAAAGGTTCACTTTGCTTTTGCTTTTACATCAGACTTGGGTCTCGGTCATTACTGGACTTGGCACTTTCATACTTTTAACAGTAGCAGCGAAAAGATGACTATTGCTCAGCCAGAGGAACACTCCTTCCTGGGCCTTTTGTCTTTTGTTTGCTTTCTTGCACTTAATATAAGAGGCATGTACTTGTATAAAATTTGGTAAAGTTTCAAACAGTGGAAAAACAGAAAAAGCAGAGATTCTTCTTCCCAGCCTCACTCCCTGGGAGTATCCACTGTTAACAGGTTAAATGGGTGGATCCTTTCAGAGGAGTGCTTCTCAGGCTTGGCTGCCCATTGGAGTGGCCCTGGAAGCACTTAAGGACACCATGCCTGTGTGCTGTCCCCAGATAGTGTTATTTTATTGATCTGGTGCCTGGCCTCTTCAGGTGATACTAACAGTCATTTAAAGATTCGCTTAGTGAAAGTTGAGTACCAGTGTTCTAATGTCCTCTGTACACAGACAACCTTATTTGAATGCCGTATGTGCATACATCAAATCTATACACAAATACTGTATGTACTCTATATACATATTCAAACATATCTATGTAATATGAACATACTTTTCACAAATACAGGGTCATGGTAAATATATTATTCATTGCTTAATTTTTTCTTTTTAAAGATTTTTTATGCGTACAAGAACTGGGGTACAATCATAGGTGCAGGGGATGGGAGGAGTCACTAGAGACAGAGTGGGGGGCAGAACTGGTGGACCTACTGAAATACACTGCTGAGGGGAGCAGTGGACAGGTCTGCTGCCACAGGGTTACCTTCCTGGCTGGAGATCAAACTCATGCTGCAGTGGCTGGGGATAGCTTCACAGTGCTTCACTTTAACCTATTGTACCACCAGAGAGGGCCCTTAATATTTTTCAGCAACAACAAAAATACTTTTCAACAAAAGATTATATTACAGCCTTCTTTCCACATTAATACCTATAGATCTATCTCAGACCTTTGAATAGACCTTTGAATAGCCATGTTTGTTTTCATTTTATCTTTTCCCACTTTGTTGAGACAAATTGACAAATATGGACGGATGGATGAAATACAAAAAAAAAAATCTCATTGTAGAAAATTTGGACGTTCAGAAACAGGAAAGTGAAGGGAAGGAATTGCACTGGAACTTCCCCAAAGAAAAAAACAGAGCTTGGTGAAATTTCCTTTGGTTCCACTAATGAAATCTTATTTACAGTATTGAGATTGTGTGTACGTAGCGTTTCTGTGTATGTGTTAGTTTGGTTGGGTTTTTTGGCCCACATATGCACAGTTGAATGAGACCTGCCATCACTGCCTCACCACTGATCTCTCAGTGGTGAGAGATCAGCCACTCTCACCACTGATCTCATCAAGGTCTCGTTGGTGTTACTCCCACCCCACTCCAGCATCTGCAGTGTATGATTTAAATACATCTGTCACGTACACTTTCAATTTTCATAATGGACCTGTGTTGTCTTTGTTTTTTTTTCCTTTTGATGCAACACCATATACTTAGACTTTGTGTTACTGTGTTAAAGTCTAGTTCGTTATCTACTACCCCGACTTGTAAAGATTTTTTTCTCTTCATAAGTACATCATAAAAACATTCCAGGTGATTAAAAAAATCTTACGAGAACCTCTCTTAAACATCACAGTTCTGCTGCAGGGGCCTTCCACAGCATTCTCACCTGCCCAGTAGCCTCAGTGCACAAACAGGAGAACTGACCAGATAACATACAGAACGGGAGATTGGGAGCTTGGGATTCTAGCCACTTACCAAGACGTGCACTTTGGATGGTTCCCTTCCCCCCGAATCATTATATTTGGCAAATATGCTGTTGGTAACAAGTTGTAATAACACCTGGTATTATCTGTTTGGCTTCTTTCCACTAGGGCTCCAAGCCCTACTGGATATTATCTTCCTTTTGAGGCAGCCTGTAAGGCAAGGTGTGGTGAGGAGACTTTTCTTCCTGCTTTACCGATAGACAAACAGCCTACAGGATTTGTAACAAGACAGCACAGCGACCCTGCCGCCCTCCTTCAACTGAGAGCCCCGTGCTCAGGCTTGTAGGTGCTACAGCTTCCCACTGTGCGAGACAGAATTTTCTGTCACTCACAGGGAACTGGTAACTGCAGTGTCTGGTGCCTGTGCGCAGAGGGGGGCGAGACCCTACAAGCCATTTCAGCCCTAATCACCCACCCACAACTGGGTGTGTCCAGGTGTGAGACTCAAAATAACCCGCTGAGACACCTTTTCCTACATCGAATCAGATAACTGGACTTACTGGGTTCTTTTGCCCTAAACCTACTCACCCATCAGGAATTCTTCATGCACTAATCTCTGCGCTAGGTGCAGAAAACAAAAGGCAGGCCTTTGGGATGCTCCCCTCAGGGTGGGGTGGCCCCGCTTCTGCTCTTAGGGAAGCGTAGTCCAAAGGGGAATGTGGTCTCTGCTGCAGACTTCTGGTCTGATGGAACATGCAAGGAGGACACACAAATGTCCCTATTCACTGGATCCATGTGTAAGAACACATTAGATGTCCTCACATGTATAAGAACTCATTAGATACTGAGTGTGTCCTAGGATTATCGGGTATTGTAAGACTAGTAGAGTTCTTGAAGAGAGAATGCTTTCAAATGAGTAATTCAGCACATCTGCCCTTGTGAATGGACAAGATGGGTCAAACCCGTTTGTGTGCACCCACGTTCTTACTGCACTGAAGACAAGTGACTCACCTTCCCTTTCCTGACGTGGCTGTAGGTGGACACCTATATGAATGAAGATGCCGAGAGCTTGAGGAAGACCGTACTAGACTTGCTCACCAAACTGAAGGAGGCTGAGTGGAAGCACCAGTCAGATCGTGTGGCTTTTGAGGTGAGATTTAGAATTGGAGTGAAGGTGCCCCAGGGCTTGGGCTCCTGGGTGCAGGTGCCAATGACTTTATCTGCAGGACTCACATCTATTTTTCTTTTTAAGATTTATTTATTTATGCATACAAGGACTGCGGTACAGGCCAGAGGTGCAGGGGGTGAGAGGATTCACCAGAGACAGAGTAGGGAACAGAACAGGTGGCTTTACTGAAATGCTGAGAGGAGCAGCAGGTAGGACAAGAGAGGTCTGTTGTTCCGTGTGAGTCAGTGGCTAGCAACAGCTTGACCACACTGTCTTTTAACACCTGCACCACCAGGGAAGCCTCTGGACTTACCTTTATGGTGGGTGTCATCAACTAGACAGATTAGGCTTTGAGGCCTGGTTACCTCCTGCCTGCTTTTCCTTCTCATGGAGAGTTACAGTTCTTGTTGTCTGAGGCTGGCCCATCATTCCAACATCAGCTCTTGGTTATCAGCCCTGTTGAAGTTGTATGGTGGGGCAGGTCTGGGGCAGGTCATTTAAAAATAATTTCTGGAAGTGCCACAATAACACTGCTTGAGCTGCGGGCACCAAGTAGGCTGGGATTGTTGCTGTCAAGTTGGCTGTGCATCCCCGGTGGGCACCTTGTCAGGGTGAGTGGAAGAGCTGGTGCTATTGTCACTAAAGCTGTGCCCGTGTACTGAGGTGACTAGGCCTAGTCTTGGCTTCACCACGCAGAACTCTGTGACCTTGAATGAGTCCCTCAATTACAGTTATAAAGGCGATACAATACTAGTTTATTATAGAAGATTTTAAAAATAGAAAAGCCTATAAAAAATATAAAAGCCTATAAAGAGAGAGTGAAGGCTCCCCATTATTAAAGTGTGTGAGGTTGTCCACACTTTCCAGAAAACTTCTTAAAGTACAAAATGGAGGCATGGGGGCCCTCCCTGGTGGCACAGTGGGTTAAAGCGCAGCACTGCAAGGCTATCCCAAGTCACTTCTTCACAAGTTCGATCCCCAGCCAGGATGCTGACCCACATGGTGTGGCAGATCTCACCTGTCTGACCTGCTGCTCTCCTCAGCAGTTTGTTTCAGTCCATCTGCCTGTTGCTTCCCACTCTGTATCTGGTGAATCTTCTCACCCACCCTAGTATTCCTGACTGTGTTACAGGGCACCTCAGTGTGAACTGGGCCGCCTGTCTGTGGGGCCTCATCCACACACTTAAAGTTCAGTTATACTGCAGACAAAAGGGTCAATAGGTTTATTTACAAAAGGGGAAAAGAAAAGGAAACAACCCAGGGAAAGAGAGCGGGATACAAAGTAACTGGAATATCTTACCAGCTCAGCCGACTTGGAGCTCTGGTAACAAACTAACTAAAAGCCCTGAGTTGTGGTTCTCGGTCAGAGAACAGAGAACAGTTTCTAGAGCAAGAGTCCCAGAATGCCTGCTTAGCTCCGCCCTTTGCTCCTCACAGTTCTCTCCCTAGTGCTGCTGGGAGTTGTAGTTTCCAGTCTCAGGAGTAGGGCTTGGAGTCCATAAAACGCTGCAGAGTTCCTTTAGGACATCCTTCCCCTTAACAGCTGTACCCCAGTTCTTATATGCATAAATAAATAAATCTTTTCAAAAATAAAATGAAGGTACACTGGGTGAAAACACTGTCCGTTTTTTACTTTTTTAAAATCTTACCCTTTTTTTTTTTTACATTTTGAAAGGGCAGATTTGTTAGGAAAAGGAGAAAGAAAAAGAGAGGCCCCTGCATAGGCCCAAGTGGGCAGGAGAGTTTGGCAGTCTTTTAAATTACTCTGTGTGAGATGAACCATCTGTTATCTGCTGTTGTTCATCCACATGGAAAGTATTTTTTAGGTCATAAACATGTAATGATAGGATTATATCCTGCCCAGGCATGCCGGGAGCTGGTGGAAAGAAGGCCAGCCTGAACTCTTCTCTTTCACGGGACTAGAAAGACTGTTGGAGAAGATTGGAAGGAAGAAGACTCACCCTGAGACCCATCAACTGCCCCTAGATTAGTCGGTCTTATTGGAGCCAGTGCTTTACCCTCCTGAAGTATCAGTCTTAACACTTCTGTTAAAAGAAGTCATGAATTACACCTCTCCAGTCAGTAGGCAGAACGAGTGAGGTGCCAAATATACACGTTTATCACTCAAAAGCACTTTATAGATACAAGATTCCCTGTATTTTTTTATTTGTGATCAGCTTGCCACACAAGCTCTCCTGCCCTGAATAGTTTGGACTTAGGGCAATCCTAAGATTAGTCTGGTCTCAGAACAAAGTATCTGTGTGGTAAAGAAGTCTGCTGAGGGAGGTAGTTGCTGCAGTGATTTCACATTCCACAGTTTGGGACACTTGGTTGGTGATATATCAGAATGGGGGCCCGTTCTTCCCTACAGAACAGGAGGAAGCAGAGGTTGAGGCTGGACCATGGACCAGACTGTGAATTTTGGAAAGAAATGTTTGCCTTGAGAGGCATTATGAAGTCCTCAGTTTTGACCAGAGAGGGCTCTGCTGGCTTGGCCTTTCAGAGCTTGGGCAAAAGTGCTCTGAGTAAAATGCCAAAGGCCAGAATGCCCCAGACAGCTGTGGCCCTGGTCCCCTGTCTTTTGGGAAGGGCTGCCTTTGAAGCCCACATCCTCAGCACCCACCTACAGGGATGATGCCTCTTGGGTTGTGCCACTTTGGTACAAGTTGGCATACCCTTTTGTAAGAGCGTCCTTAGGGCAGGGCCAACTGGAGGTATAGGGACAGATGTCCCCAAAGGCAGGGGTGTTTTATTTTTCCCTTGTAATTCTGCACAGGGTGCGAGGATTAGCTGATGGCTGTTACAGTTGTGCGCCCAGCATCTGTCAACCTGGGTGTAGTGTTTAACTACACAAACAAAAGGCCTTGTTTTTAAGTTCCTGCCCAGGAGGCTGGCCTATCCCAAGGCTGTATGGGAATTTGCAGGTTTTTCTTCATCTCTCATAGGGAATTAGACTCTCTGGTCTGCTATTCTGAACCTGAGGGTAGGAAGAACAAGGCTTTCAATTACCATGAAAGCAGCCCGCGTGCAGCATGGGTCCGGCCTGCTGGCTGCTTGCTGGCAGGAAGGATCTGCAGCAGGCTTGCCCTGGACGGGCCAGTGTGCAGCATGGACACGTCTCTTCACACATCATCGTGCATTTCATTCTCTCCTCCCTGAGTCTGACTTTGGGAGGAGCCCGACAAACTGGCTACCGCTGTGCCATTTTCCCAGGAGCAGGGAGGCTCTCCAGAGTAAGTGATTGAGGAGTCAGTGTGGGGTAACAAAGGAGCTGTGCAAGGATTTTGAAGTGCACTGGCTTCATCATGCTCTAGCTCTGTAGCCTTGAATAGGTCAGTTGACTTTTAGTTGTAGAAGAAAAGGGCTGACTAATGAGCAGCCCTTCCATTCGCTTGATGAAGCTGCTGGTCTGCTGGGGGAGCACACCCTGTGCTGTCAGCCAGGAGAGCCGCATGTCCTGCGAGCACACCATTGCCCAGGCCCAGGGGTGGCGTGGGAGAGGGGCAGCCTGACCGGAGACCTAAAGGATACTTAGGAGTTGGCCAGGGCACATGTTGTGGAAGGAGGCAAGCTCTTACTTTACCTTTTCATTCCAAAATTTTGCTTCTGTACCCCTCCCAGATGCTATTTTGACCTTTGTGTTGTGATGTTAGTGGAAGTGAGGGTGAGGGGGGTGGGGGAGTAGCGGGACAGAAAGAAGGAGACAGAAAGAAGGACGTGACAAGATCCGAAATACTGGCTTAAACTTGGGTAGCAATGGAGGGCTCTTGGGGTGTTGAAGAAGTCAGCTGTTTGAAAGTGGTGCTTATAGGTTAAAGGTGTGTCTCTAAAGCAGAATTCTGACAGCTTCTGCCCATGGACCCTGGAAACCGCTCATCTGCAGTCTCCTGGTGGCCCTGGCCCAGTGAAGGGGAATGGTGGCTGTGTTCTCATTGGCATTGCCCCCATCTTCCTTCCCTGCAAGCAAGGTCCTAGGTTCTTTACTAGTGCTTTATCCACGTGTGCTCTGTTTCTACCCGCCTCATACATCCCCATCCTGTGTCTTAGGTGACACTCAGGACCTGCAAGCAAGGTCCTGGGTTCTTTACTAGTGCTTTATCCACGTGTGCTCTGTTTCTACCCGCCTCATACATCCCCATCCTGTGTCTTAGGTGACACTCAGTCGCTACCAAAGAGAAGCAGAGCAGAGTCACACGGCCCTCCAGAGAGCAGAGGCCAGAGTGGAGCAGAAAGAGGTGGACATTGGAGAGCTACAGAGGCGCTTGCTAGGGATGGAGACGGTAATTGCAGGCATCTGCTCCCGGGGCTCTGCGTCCTGGGCTGGAAGGCGCCCCAGGGTTGACTGAGATGGTTGCCTAAGCTTCCCTTGTGTAAGCAGCCCCAGAAAGTGTACTTCATGGCTTCCTTGGGAAAACCTTTAGAAGAGGAAAGCTCTTTCTCTCATCTAATCTCAGCCCTCAATAACTAGAGTTGAACCTATTTCCATTTTAGTCAGCCTTGTACAGCTACCCTTTATGGGCTTTTGAAGACTGTTCTTAACAAGCCATTCGGCCTGGTTTCTCAGGATTTGGCAACCATAGCTGGCAGGTGGGCCTGGGTGATGTAGGGCTGGCTCTCCCTCCAGGCAGCTGGGTGAGGCTGGGAAGTTTCTATGTGCTAAGGGTGGGAAGGGTTATCCCTGACAGGGGAGGGCACCCCATCAAACCAGCTTGGCCTGCTGCTCTTTGGCAGTTGTCCCAGTTCTAGTGCCCCTCTCACCCCAAACACAGAAACTGTTGTCATCTCTTCACTGGAGATTTTCTTTGCTTTGACCTGTCTAGGAACATCAGGCCTTACTGGTGAAGGTCAGGGAAGGGGAGACAGCTCTGGAGGAACTGCGGAGCAAGCACGCTGACTGCCGAGTAGAACAAGAAAAGTGAGGGCTCTTGTTCACTGTGGGGTTGGGGTGCCGGGAGGGGCGGGCGGAGCAGCAGCCTACAGCTCTCATGGTGGCCAGACCGGGGAGGAAGCTGGTGCTGATGTCAGATCTTCCATCGCTGACTCACCCTGTGCGGCTCAGGGTGGGGCCCTGCCCAGGGAGATACTGGCTGGGAGGCTGCCATCTCTGGGGAGTCATTTTGCATGGTGTAATAACCTAAGGAAGAGGCTTTGAGGTTTGAGAGTCAAGATCAAGCGAGAGCTGGTCAAGCCTCCACCGATGTGGTGGTTGTGCTGGACATGGGCATGCTGTTACCACACCAAGGTTTCCTCCCCTGAGACAGAAGGCCACTCACAGGTTGTCTCACTGAAAAGGCAAGGAGTCACTTCATGAAGAGATAACTGCACTTCCCACCACGCAAACTGAGAGTAACTTGCAAACTGAGAGCAAGCACATAGGTTCACCTTGGGCTTCTAGGCTGGAGAGTTTGCAGATTCCCTCAGACCAGAGAGGAGCAGAGGTCCCAGAGTTGTGCAGCCTAAGGACAAAGACTGGGCTGCTGTGGACCTTTAAGAATTAGGAAATTCTTTGTGCTCTTGACAGTAAATAAGATCTCAAGTGGTAAAACAAATTCTACATCAGCATGTTAATCTGATCTCCATTGTATGGTTTGGACCTTGTAAAATTCAACAGACAAAGACTAAGGAAATCCAAGATTAACAGATATGGTCCTTGCTTTCCCGCACCCTTCAGTAAAGGGGGGAGTTTTCTCTCCTTTGTTATAACTTCTATCTCAGCCTGTCTGGCATGGACATCTTATTGTGGCTTCCTTTCAGACGTCACAGCTTGCATATCAGCATCCCCTCTCCCTCAATGGCAGAGGTGCTCGGTGCTCTTGGACAGGCACGGAAAGAGGAAGGAGCAGGAAAAGCTAGAGACCTGAAAGTCTAAAACCCAGGTTTGGGATGACAGGTGATATGTGTGCATCGTTAACGCTGATTTTCTAGATGAAAGGAGACTGGGAAATAGAGTGTTGGAGAGGTAAGGGTGGAAATTTAAGAATGTTTGACATTTAGGGAAGATGTGGGGGCTTCCACTGCCCACCTTATTTTCCTCTTGATAGACAGTGCCTGCCAGCAGTGCAGGACAGCACAGTCAAGCTTCCACTTGACTCTCTCTGGGAGCTCCTTACACACAGGGCAGTCTACTTTCTTACAACTTTAACACTGATAAAGTCTTTCCCTCTGTTGGCCTAAGAACCACTTGATTGGAATGCCTACCTATTGGTTCTAGTTTTAGAACCTTTCTGAGCCTCAGTTTCCTTTTTTGGACCAGGTGATCTGTGCGATCTCTGTGATGCTCCTAATTGATGTCCTAACGTGTCTGTTCCCTACTCCTGAGGGCAGCCTATCAGGGAATAAGGCAGAGGGAATCTACCTGACAGTAGCCTCTTCCCCAACCACCAAGGCTTTTCCTGTGACTGGGTAGAGAATGCTTTTTTTCCCTCTTGCCTCAGCCTTCTGGTCTCTATTCCCAGGACTGCTAGCCTGGAAAAGGAAGTGGCTGGGTTGCGGGAGAAGATCCATCACTTAGATGACATGCTTAAGAGCCAGCAGCGGAAAGTTCGGCAAATGATAGAGCAGGTAAGTAGGGCCAGCTCTTACCTGCCTTACCTAATGTGCTTTTGGATACTGTTCTGAGACATCAGTCAGCCTGGCTTCTAGAGCTTCGCAGCCATAGCTGGCAGGTGGACCTGGATAATGCCCACCTAGAGTCATCACCTGGAGCCTAGCACTGTGTTCTTGGTAAGTCCATGCTGTTACTTATGTGTTCTCCTGGGGAGCTTGGCTTATATTCACAAGTGTCCCATAAAATATTTATGGCTGCCAGTTACTAGACAAGGTTATTGAGATTTGCTTTTTTTTCTTCCACCTTTGCCCTACTTCTTTGGTCATTTGCCTTCTGCTTTCTGATGGGAAAATAAAGAAAAGGTTAGTTTTCCTTACAGTCTGATGAGTGCTTGTAAATGGATAAGTTAAGTCACAGTAAACTCACTTCTCTCTGAAGTGACTATCTGGATGGTTGGCTGAATCCTCAGTTCAACTGAGTAAACATATTCCAGACGTTCAGAGAGTTAACGATGGTAAGACCTGTCCCCTTTCTGAAGAGTTACATCTTCCTGGGGCAAGATGTAAAATCGCCTACCTGGAAGCAGAGGTGTGTGCTGGGCAGCCACGGGAACCTCGTGGGGAAGAGAAGACCGGCTTTAAGGGAGGGAGAGGTCACTGAGGGCGTCTCAGCCCTGTCTAGCTGCAGCTCTGAAGAGACTATCTGGATGGTTGGTTGAATCTTCAGTTTAACTGAGTAAACATATTCCAGAATGTTCAGAGAGTTAACGATGGTAAGACCTGTGCCCTTTCTGAAGAGTTACATGTTCCTGGGGCAGATTTTGACCTTCTCTTATCTGGGCTTTTAGGTCGCTGACTTAGGATACGCCAATTTGGGTATAGTTTTGGAACATGAGACCTCTGATGGGAAGGGAACATTTGCTTCAGACTTGGGTTCTTCCATTTTGTTCACTGCCATTTCCCACTGTCTAGAAAAGGACCCGTCATATAGTAAACACTCAATAAATGCTTCTTAAATCAATAAATCATTTGTATTTGCAAAATCAAAGGGAATGGTTTTTGAATCATCCATAATTTTGGATGCTCAGAGTGGAGCTCCCCACACACCCTCTAGGATATCCAGAGTTTACTATTAAGTGAAACACGGCTTTTATAGAAAAGCTAAGCAAGTCAGGTGAGAGGTGCCACAACCGTACATTCGTCTTTGCTGCTTCCCCTGGCGACAGCAGGACCAAGTTTGATGAGTGTCTTGAGTCATTTAAAAATGAGCTCAGTGTCTCCCACATCTTTGCAGCTCCAGAATTCAAAAGCTGTGGTCCAGACAAAGGACACCACCATCCAGGAGCTCAAGGAGAAAATCGCCTACCTGGAAGCAGAGGTGTGTGCTGGGCAGCCACGGGGACCTCGTGGGGAAGAGAAGACCGGCTTTAAGGGAGGGAGAGGTCACTGAGGGCGTCTCAGCCCTGTCTAGCTGCAGCTCTGAAGTGAATATCTGGATGGTTGGCTGAATCCTCAGTTCAACTGAGTAAACATATTCCAGAACGTTCAGAGAGTTAATGGTGTGCCCTTTCTGAAGAGTTACATCTGCCTGGGGCAAGCCCTGTGGTGGCAGCATGGAGCCAGCCTGTCTTTCTGACCATGTGAGCTGACAGTGCAGCTGGGCTTTTTTGGAGGAGGAGGCCTCTACGTGGAGTCTTCATCATGGCTAAGATGATGGACCTGACTCCCTGAATTTCTTAGTCTAATTTCCACCCAGCCTCAAAGCTCTTGCTGTTGACTACCTGAAGATCACTTTGTAGCCAGCGTTGTAAGATCCCCGGTGTGTGGGAGAGTAAAAGAAATGAGAGTGAGGGTTGTTTATCATCTGGGATTTGCAGTCTCCAATTAGAGATAAAAATGTGTATTTTTAAAACACCTAAAAATACATTGTAGACAAACCCATAGGCCAGGCAAGTAAACCTCTCAGTTGACCAAGAAAATTATATACAGATAGTATAGAAAGAAGTAGAGGAAATGACACCAGGTCAAAGCCATTGAGAGCACATCCTGCTGCAGGCTGGAGCAGATGCGGGAGGAAAGGAGCTTGCTGCACGATGAGAAGAGGAGAGAGTGTGTCCTGGCGTGCATGGTTGGGGTGACAGCAGTGTCACCGCTGAGGTGGAGAGGCCACAGTGGGCTAGGTCAGTGTGACAGATGGCAAGGTAGAAGAGATCAGTCCTAACCTCCTGACCTGTATTACAGAACCTGGAGATGCATGACCGCATGGAACACCTGATAGAAAAACAGATTAGTCACGGCAACTTTAGCACGCAGACCCGGGCTAAGACGGAGAACCTGGGCAGGTGTGTATGGAGTGGGCCCAGGGAAAAAGGGTGGGGGAGAGGACAGAGCTGTAGCTACTTCAGTGCAAATGCAAGGCTCTTCCAAATCCAGCTTAATCCTCAAAACCTCTGAGCTGACATTCTCTGCCGGCACTGTTTTCTAAGCCAGCAAAAGCAGAGCCAGTAACAGCTGCTAGAGGTTCTAAACTCCCTGAAATTGGATGCCAGAATGGTGTGCCTTTTCCTAGGGAGATAGACTTTTGTTTCTGAGACTCCCAAAAAGTTCCAAGGCTTTGGGAAAAAAATGAAGAATCGCAGCTATACCCACGTCTCAGTTGCTTAACTGCTCCCCCTCTTTTTCATCACTCTTGTCTCCATACAAAATACCACGCCCCTGATCTTTTCTTAGAGACCAGACAGAGTGTTTCAAAATATTTGGAACAGGAAGTCGGCCGAGCTGAGGTAGAGAATTCCCGAGGGAGGCCAGAGGGAGGGTCTGCAGGAAGGGGAGCAGCAAGGCCCTCCTCAGTGTCTCCATCTCTCTCTGCAGCGTGAGGATATCAAAGCCCCCCAGCCCCAAGCCCCTGCCTCTCATCCGAGTGGTGGAAACATGAGTGGAAGGACGCCGCCTCTGTTGCTGCCTCTCGCCTGTGGAGAAGCCCACCACCCCCTAGGCTGATAGCACTGACTCTGACTTCCTGACTGTTCCCTGGCTGCTGGGGCTCAGGCATCCTACCCCTTCCAATTCCTGTGCTCTGTGAGCCGGGTGGATGGAGCTGAGTCCTTCTGTGGACACCAGAAGGACATTATCCTGCCAGCAGGAGCCAGGGCAGGGTCCTTCTTCCTGTAGTTACTACTTTCCTGTAGCAGGGGCTCCCTTCTGTTACAGACTGAAGTTCAACTGCCTCAGAAGCCAGGCCCCACGCCTGGGCGGGAGAGGTGGCAAGATTTGCCTCAGAAGCTGGCAAGCTGGCAGCACAAATGTCCACAGCGACTGGAGAGTGTCCTGGGGGGATGAAGTTCCTTCTGCAAACACAGCTCAGTTCTTAGCAACAAACTGTTTATTTTTCTACTTGCTCCACCCTCCACCCCTGCTGGCTTGGGCCTCCCACTGAGAGACAATGGGGCTACCTGTCATGGCCTGGTCAGAGCCAGTGAACCTCAACTTTGACTGGATGGCCTTGTCTTTGGTAGGTGGGAACGTGCATTCAGGGAGTAGCTTTTAGCAGAAAGATGCTGTAGGGCCACGGACAGTTACGCGTGACTTCCCTCTGCTGTGAAGACTCCCAGAATCTCTTAGGGTTCGCCCTAAGTCACAGTACAAGTACACCTCAGTCTTCCTGACTCAGAGCCTAAAAACTGTTTTCACTGGGTAACATTAATCTCAGCGAAACTCACTGTATTTATTTTGCTAAGTTATTGGTGTTTTTGCTTACATCTCAAAATCGATAGCCTGCTCTTGCGGTATTGGATTTGTTCAAAACTGGGAAAAGACTGTTCCCACTTTCTCTCTCTTCTCTATGTGCTTCTTAACCCAAACCTGATCTGAACCTCAGAAGGCAAGTATATTTGCCCTAAGGTATCAGGGTCTGGGTGTGTAACTTGTTTGGGGGAAGTGGATAGTCCAGATTCTTTTGGGGAGGGATTGAATTCTTCCCCTGAACCTCTGCTTTATAATCAGTTTGTTACCCTGGCTCCGAACAACCGGGCACTCAGCATGTTTTCCTTAGGGCTCTTCCTGAAACCGCAAGGAGATAAGCATCAGAATGTGGTACTGTGGGACTCTGGAAGAATTAGAAGCAAATGTGGGTTAAGCCTTCAAGGTTGTAGTTGACTCAAAAACCAGAAGCCTTAAGTGTGTATGTTTGTGTCTGTTGGGACTGCGCTCATGTTCTGGTTTTGTTCAAGAGGGTTTCTGGTGTTCTTCATGTAACTTGCTCATGTGTAAAGTGAGAGGTCAGACCAGATGATATCCATAGGTCCTTCCAGTTCTGCTATTTTTTCCAGTGACATAGTGTTGATAAGGTGAATCTAATAAATTATGTTAATATGTCTCACTGAACTCCTGGCCTAGATTCTTTCCACTTTCAGGGGAGGATGTAAGAACACAATTTGCGTCTGCTGGCCACATCTGGGCGCTAACACCCAAACACTATGATACAAGGACTCTGGTTTTCGGAGGATTTGGTGACCATCTAAGCAGCTCAGCTCTATGGCCTGAGTCCTGGTTGTAGAAGGTGGCCCCCAGCTTTAGCTTGTTGGACCTGTGTGGGGTGGTGGCCTATGGGATAGCTAAACTTTTCAGATTGTGTCCCCAGTTGAAAAAGAACTGGTCCTGTGATTAATCAGGAGTGCGGCCAATCAGCACTGGAGGTGATGGGTAGCTCCAGTCCTCTGCAGAAATGAAAAGCACCTGAAAATGCTGACTGCACCTGTTTTAAGGGTCTAGTTTTTGGCTATCTCTGAGCATCATTCAATTAGTCCAATGGCCTTTTTTTCTTTCTGCCAAAAATGCAGCTGACTGCAGGGCCCAACAGGGGCAGAGCTAAATTTACATGACTCTTTTCTGGACCAAAGAGACCAGAAATGCACCCCCCCCTTCAACCCTGGCCCTGTTTCCTTTCTGGCCCACTTGCTCTTTTACTTGAAAGAATGTAAATTTTTCTCATGACACTTTTTTTGCCCCTTTTTGCTTCTCAGCTAGTTCTCACTTAAGGCTTCCAAAAATCTCTGTCCACTCCAGACGTGGGTCTGTTGGCTGACAGCCTGTGGTTGTCATCTTTCTCTGGCAGTCTCACTTGCCTTCGGTCTATCTAGACTGCTTGTTCTCAGAATATTAAGAGGGTGGAAGCAGGGTGGGGTTGCCCAGGGTGCCAAGACTTGCAAGGCTAGAATAAGACAGGCGTGAGTGTGCTGTCATACAGGAAAGGGAGGCACTGTTACTGGCCTTCAAGGACTTGGGATGAGCAGAGATTTGGGCTGAAGATAATGAAGGGTTCTGGAAACTAGAACCCAGGCTCTATGAGATTCTTTGGACAAAAACATGCCTTTGGTACATATGCCACAGAGTTTAGTTGTACCGCCACTGAAAGGATTTGCCACAGAGAATAAGCAGGGTCTGTGGGAAGAGAAAGTGATCAACAAAAGGTAGATTATATATTGGCAACCTTTTCAGATAGACATGGAGAACAGAGGGCCTGAGAAGGGCGAGGTAAGTAAGCTGCTCCTGACTTCAGCAGCCTGTTTATTGCCTGTGTTATGTCATTTGGAAGCCAACTCTCTGTGCTGCTTGACTGTTTTGTGGAGGGAAGATTAAGTCTGACTCCCTGGGGCCTTTGCCATGAAGACCTGTTTCTTTGAGCTGGGTGCTGAGAGCTGCCCGAACATGCAGCCATCAGCAACAGCCTCCTATAAAGCCGAGCATCAGCCCCAACGTGGGAAAAGCAGCTTGTAGGAGCACCCTTGGCCTCCCAGACAACTGCCTGCCTCTTTCCTTGCCTCCTCCCCAACAGAAAACTGCCTGTCAGGGATGTGGTAACACAAGTGGTGGAGCTTTTTTAAGTTTTTACAACCGAAGTTTGATTGGCTCATTTTCATCTCTATGTAAAAGAGTCTTCCACATGAAATGTTCCAAGATTTAAGCTGGAAAGATGCTCTCACATGATAGGGCATAAAGCAACTTAATTTGACAGAGGAGGGTAAGAGATTGATGCCCCCTGGTGTAGAAAAGCAGCTTCCCCTCTCTGAAAGCTCTTCCTATGTGTTGCTGGGTTTTGTGGGGCCTCTAGCAACCCCAGGGCTTGCTCATTGCTCAGAGCCAAGCATGGTGGAGCTTGGGCCTGAGCTTGTTCAGGCTCTGACCCAACAGCAGATGTTAGCCTAGGGCCCTTGGCCTCTTTTCCATGCTTCGATTTTAAGACTCCAGTTTTGCAAGGAGACATTGTTTTCCATCTCCCTGTCCCAGTTCTAAGCTCCGTGGCCTTGAAACTCAAAGTGGGAGAGCTAAATATTTTCTAGCCCCCTTTTCTCCAAGGAAAATCCTTAACTAGGCTGAAGATAAACGAGTCGTAAGAGAAGGCCACATGCTCTGAAGGTTGGTAATGTTAACTTAAAAAAGTGTGTAGCCTTTCTGCTGGAATCCTCTCCAAGCCTCTGAGACATGGGATTAGGCTAGATGGAGGCAGGATAATTAATTTCCTAACAGAGTGTTGGATGGCAAGTCTTGCACCACAGGACCTCAAGCTGCTGAGGGGAAGAAAGCCATTAGTTCTCATGACTTGGTCTATCAATTTGGTGCTGATTAACAAGGAGGCCTGTTGGGCTCTCACTGGCTTTCCGGGCTCTTAATTCATCCGCGTCTGCAGGAGTTTAGAGACTCTTGCATCTGCTTCATATCTATATGTGTTTATGTTTGTACAGACTTGCTATGTAAGACATATTATTGTAGGAAACAATTGGGAAAACTGTATTTAGGAAAAAACCCACTTTCTATCTGTGTTTCTTCTTTACTACTCACAAAGAACACTTCACTTCTGATGCTTCCGGTCTCCAAATGTGTGAGTTTCCCCCACACCAAGCAGTTATTATGCCCCACCAGCTGGGTGTCCTACAATTTCACTCAGTTCTGACACTGTCTACCTGAAGATGAGGTTAAAGGCTCAGTCCTACAAAGTCTTTCCACCCCCCTACTTAAGGTGCTGATTGTAAGTAGTAGATTACCAGGTTACAATTTAACTCTGACTTGGCTATAAATCAAAGGTTCTTAGGACACCTTCCTGGGTTCTGTTAATTTGCTAGAGCAACTCTTAGTACTCGGAAACAGATTTACCAGTCCTTAATAAAGGATATGAAAAGGGATGCCACTGAACATCCACATTAAGGACACAAATGGAAGTCTGAGAGGGTGCAGAGCACAAAACCTGTCCATTGCCAGCCCCACTCCCTTCTCTGGAGCATGGGGGCAGGGGTGGAGGGACTGAAAATTCTAAGTGTCTAGTCATGGCTTGGCCTTTCTGGTTAAAATCCCCATTCAGGAGTCCAAGAGTCACCTTATGGCCCTCCCTGGTGGCACAGTGGGTTAAAGCACAGCACTAAGACGCTAAAGCCACTTGAACATGAGTTTGATCCCCACCCCACCGGTGATCCACATGGCATGGCAGACCTCTCCTGACCCGCCTGCTGCTCCCCTCAGCAGTGTACTTCAGTAGATCTGCCTGTTCTACTCCCCACTCTGTCTTTGGCTGTACCCCAGTTCTGTATGCATAAATAAATAAATCTTTTAAAAAAAAGTCACCTTATTAGAACAAAAGATGTGCCTAGTGCTTTTATGACTTTGAAAATTAGAGGATTTAAGAGCACTGTGGCAGAAACTGGGTGTGTATATGTGTGTGTGTGTGTACACACACATACATATACACATATGTATACCTATACATTTCTATATTTTCCCCCCTATTATTTCACAACCAGTCTTATCTCACAGGTGTGTATGTCCTTGGATATATCATTATCTCAGGATCAGCTGGATCAAAGTTGACTTCTTTTGAAACTGCCTCCCTCCAACCTCTCACACTTTCTCTAAGTTGAACCACAGTCTTCAGTGAGGCTAGAAAATGTAGAGCCATCTTTTACTTTTCTCTCTATTCCTTTATCCCTAATATCCCACTTCTCAACATTACCTAATGTTTTTTCTTTTGAAATCTCTCTCAGACCTGGCTCTTTCCATATTCACAATCATGGGGTTTAGCTGGCTCTTTGAATTTAGATATCCACCGAGCCAGTCCTTGCTGGTCCTCCAGATCCACTCACCTGGCCATTATCATTAGCGCCTGTGCCAAATAATTTAATCCTATCAGTTGGGGTCAGGCATCCCTGCATACTCAGGTAATACCCAATTAGAAAGCAACATGAAATAACATAACAGATATAAAATACCTGAGAATAACCTTTATTTGAAATATCAGTGACCTACGTGGGAAAAAAATAACCAAATTTTGTTGGGAATATGGGAAAACTAAATGGAAATTTTTCCTGGATGGTAAAGTTAAAATTGTAAAGATGTCAGTTCTTCCTTAATTTATTTTTAGTCTTCATGTAATTACAATGAAGATCTCAATAGACTTCTTTTGGAATTGGATATGATTATTTAAAAATTCACCTGAAAGAATAAGCGGGAAATGGCAGAGAAAAAATTTGAAGACAGAGGTTAATTGGGAGGCATATTAGGCTTGGCAGATAGTAAAATGTATAGCTTGCACATCAGTTTAACAGACTAGAGAGGCAGAAATAGAGCCACTTTTATATAAGCACTTAAAAGGGACAAAAAAGCATTGCAACTCAGGGGGAAGGCACTTCAAAGGTTAGTTAAAAATAGTTTAAAAGGACTCTGACCTTAAACATTATACCTAAAATCTAGATAAAAGCATTACATAGACAACTTAACTGTAGAAAAACTGGGAGACACTATAGTTGATGAGCAACTCTGAGGGGAGAGAGTCATTTAGAATTTTAGTATGAAAGGTTATAACGGCGTATGTCAGTTATCTCTCAATTAAAAACTAAAATAAAAATAAAGGTCATGAAGAGAAATACTTTAGTTCTCAAAAAAATGTAAAATTTCTGAGTTAAAAACTAAAGGCCAAAAGGCTGAGAAATTACTAGTGGCAACTGTGATGAAGAGGCAACCTTTATCTTGCTAAGGTCAAACAAGGATAAAATCACCTAGATCCTTTTAGATCGCTGGCTGGGGTATGCATCCCTTTTTCTGCACATACTTGTTACACTCCGCTCCTACTTCGCTTGCCTCAGTGCCCTGGAGTGCTCAGGTGCAGCCACAGCTGGGAGTGAGGCACGTTGGCCCTGCCTCTTCCGAGCCCTCAAGGGGGAGGGGGTGGGGGGGAGGGTGGGACCTGTGGCTTGCCATTCTGGGATGTGCGGCTCCAACTGGCTTACACCAGATGGGATCAGCCTCCCTGGCTCAGCTAATACAAAAGTCCAGAGACACTTTTGGCTCAGTGAACCCTTGCAGAGCATTCTGAGGTCTCCTCAAAG